TCCAGCTCCGCACGGCCGTTTCCTCGTGTGGTGACCCCAAGGCCTGCGCCATCAACGTCATGACCCTCGGATCCCAGGCAGTTGCGCTTTGCTGTTTTTGGCTTGTATCATCCTGGCATACCGCAGCAACATTTGCATCTGTCACCCTTGAACAATAAATCCATAGATAGGGCCTCAGTAGTAAGTAACAACATCATGACCCAGGAACATCATCAGCTCCTTTGCTTGGATCTCTCAGTTCACGGCCCTTGCGGTGTCTGATTGCGCAGTGGGCGTGGACCAGAAGGCCTTGTGCACTGCTGACATCTCCGATGCTGGGCATTGCTGGGCAAGAGCTAGTCTTAGAGGTGGTACAGCAAGTACAGTACTGCATCGGGGTTAGGTCAAACTTACGGGCCCTTTGCTAGGTACGATGTGGGGTACGAAAAATTAATCCTGGTTTTGGAAACGATCTGTGATAACAGGATGGCCGTGGGGCTGATGTTTGCAGCACTACTGGGTTACGGGTACTTATAACTCACAATCCAAGAGTATAGTTCTAATTCTCTAACAAAATTACAAGCCCCCTAAACCTCGCCCTTCTCTGGGTATAATTGGGTTCTAAGGGCATGTTATAGTTGGATCATCATGACCTTGAGCGTCAACGCGTATGTCTCTTCAGAACCCTTACATCTCTCTCTCTCTCTCTCTCTCTATAGTTATATACATATGTATACCACTATGTAACGCACATAGCTCTTTACGATTGGGTTATAATGACCCTGAACCTCTAGCCTCAGAATCCGAGGATATGGTTGCAGCGCTCACCAACGGTCCCGCGGCCGGCATTGCTTCAACCTCAGACTCTAGGAAACCCACTGGTAGCCTTTTACTGAGTTGTTGTTAAGGAACTTAAACCAAGTGACCATAATATGGGTACATAGTATATAATAGGGTTCCATTATTACAGTAACTGAATTTACCCACTGGTAGCTTGGGTCATTGCCCTCCCAGTAACTGTCCTTAAAGAGGGCTTTGTTAATGGGCTATTCTAGTTCCTAGTATCCATTGTGGCAACTGTTACAGTACTGCAAGGAGGAATGACCCAACTGGTGGCTTTTTATCCTTTTTGGGCCCTGGGATCAGGATAAATCAGTAGTAAGGACTAAGCTAAACAATCGCGCAGTACATCTGTCCACAATTTTTCAGCCTAGTACTTTGGAAACCCAGTGGTTCCTGTCTTTGTTCCTGAATACAAAAAAGGGACCAGAAATAGGGCACCCTTGTTGTAATATGGCTTCTGGGCTGCCAAGGACTGCGCTGACCTCTGAGATGTGTGAAGCAGGCAGTAGACGAGCCGTCCGTGTCGTTTGGGGGGACAGAGCTGCAGCATCACGTCGGCTAATGGGCCTTCGCTGCGCGATTCCACGAGTTCTCCCAAAGCGTCACTTTCAGCGTGAGTTCCGTGGTGCGTATGGAAGGTTGTCGAAAGCTGCGGTCTCTAGGTATTCTTCACATTTGGGGCCGTATTCTCATGAGAGCCTATAAGTGACCATGTTCGACAACGCATGTTAGGGTACAGCAAAAGGCAGATCCAAGTCAGACAACTCCCAAGTTAGCTGTTCGGGGATAGCTGCACCGGACGGAGCTCCGGGCAACTCACGCACACGCATCCTTGGACGGCTCATCAGTACACAGACTTGCCTTGAAAGTATGTTGCTTTGTTGCCAGCGGTTTTGGTTGGACTGCGGCACAACTCGATGCTTCAGGGGGAGCGGGGGAGTGGATCCCTATCATAGTGATGCCTACAATCATTTACAGTAGTCCCTACATGTCTTGCCCCACTCACCCTTGAGCAACTCTTTCATGCCAGTTTGCCCGCTCAGCTGCTCCGGGAAACTTCACAAACGGCCGAACCCAGCTCATAAGGGAACGTTGGTTACCCCAACTCCCAAAATTAGTGCCCTATGAGCGTCAAATGAGCTATAATCTACACTCCTTAAAAGGGGGTTGTATCGGGGACTAATACAGGGGACTAGTATCAGGGATATCAAGGTGGATGCTAGGAGTTTAGACGGTAGCTGATAGGATAGTCATGCGGCCCTAGATTTGGAGGACCGGTGCCCCAAACCCTTAAACCCTGAAATCGCGTAAACCGACCATCATGGTAGGACGTTGATGTTGCCGTTGGGCCTGCTGTGCGAGCATGCTGGTTTTCCCAACTCTGCTCGGTCTTGTAATGATAAGGGAACTTGGGGGTTTCCAAAACATGGGGGGTACCTACTGCGGGTCCCTATAAGGACTCTATTTGCTTGGGGGTCTATATTAGGGTCTCTTTTCTTGGGACACTGCCGTTTATGTTATCCCAGCTCCAACAAAATGTGAACGCCATCGTTGTCATAATGGGCTTCATCGGATCCTTCGTATAGGGGTTGGGGTTAGCAAAATGGTCCTTGTCTTGTAGTTTAAACTTTGAACTGGCTTGCTAAGGCCTGATCCACAACTTGCAGGCCTACGCATCTGCGAAGACATATGCGAACGTTTGAAAATGGAATCCCGGGATCCCTTGCAAATGCACCTAGCATCGTTACACAACGCCGAACAGTGTTCCTAGCTTTCATCTAATGTACCACAATCTTATTGGGGGCTAGTGGGGAATATGGGGAAACAATTCTATAAAGATGATACATTGATTATATGGGTGGTTGTCAAAATTATGGTCCCTTTTTGAGTACCCTAAATATTAGGGGCCGTATTATAATAGGGATCCAAAAAGGGACCATAATTTTGACAACCATCCATATCTCAAAACCAGCAAGCAAAAGGAATGGCGGGGGTAGAAAGTAGACCTGTCAAGCTCGGCATGTGCTTGAAACATTACCAGCTGCAAGAGGGTTTAAGGGTTTACCCTGGGGCTCCATGTCTATAAATAGTACCTACATTGGGCCCCAAACTCTACAGATATGACCTACATGGGGCTATTTGGAGCCTTAGGGTTAGGGTTTCGAGGATCATTAGGCAGTGCTCTGGAATACGCCGATGTTGCCAACTAATCCTCTGTTGCCATTGGAAGTTAAAGTAGGAAAAGGAAGAGCGTGGCGCTTTACATCTAGGGGTCCATACTTTAAGTTTTGAAGCGCTGAGCTGAACTTGTTATGATGGACAGGTACGCCCAGAGGAGGAGCAAGAGAAACTTGGTCGCAAGTACCGTGTGGATTGGGTGTATATGGTTGGGGGCTTTAGAACCCTAAATCCTAAACCCCTAAACCCTAAACCCTAACCCCTAAACCCCTAAACCCCTAAACCCCTAAACCCTAAACCCTAAACCTTATGTTCATGGTTCCGAAATCAAGGGGGTGGGGGCTGATGGTCCAAGGCTTTAGGTTTATGGTTTCAGGAGGTGTCCCTGTGGGGCCTGCACCTGCGAAAATAAAGAAACTTCTCATTATGATCCCTAAGGGTCCAAGGACCCATTAATAGGGTCCCTTTAAAGGGTTATAGGGGGACTATACAGGGATATATGGGGACTATATAAGGGTCCAAGGACCCAAATAATAAGGTTTTAGGGCCCAAATACTATAATGTGAATGGTGTTTGGGCCCTAAGACCCTATTATTTTTGTCCTTGGACCCTTAGGGGATGGTTTTGCATCGCGCTCATCTTTAATCCCCAAAATAGCTTACTTGCAAAAACCCAGGCACCACGGTGACATGCTCTCCATGGTTTAGAGTATTGAGTAAATGCTTCAAGAAGAATGTGAACACCGGTCCGGCATCAGGGTAGAGACTGTTATCCCAAACCCTGATCAACCCTGAACCCCTAAACCTCTAAACCGCTAAACCCCTAAACCCTAAACCCCTAACCCCTTAAACCCTAAATTCCTCAAGCTTCAAGCTGACGCCTTACACTTGAAAGCCTAGTTGCCTGCTGGCTCAACAGGACGTTTGCTGATTCTTAACCGTGGGGTGTTTAGGGTTAGGGTTTAGGGTTTAAGGGGGTAGGGGAGGTCCCTATAACAGGGGTTATGCTTGTTGGCCACGTAAATTTAGCATGGGACCTGATTATTATCAGTGTCCCTGTTTGGCGGGGGGGATTAACAGAGGCGAGGCTACTTCTTAGGCATTCGGAATATTTACAGGCTACAATACTTGGACATTCAGTTACAGCATATCATAAGCCAATTCAAGCTGGTACTTCCCAAGTAAAACCACATAAGGGTACCAAGTGGGCGCATAACTGGGTTACGAGTACAATGGTAACTGGGTAACAGTTACCCTAACCCTACCTAGACCCTCCTGTGTAGTTCCTTTTTGGGTCAAAAATTATAATCCCTTACCAAAAACACATAGCAGACCCAAAAAGGAACTACATTAGAGCCCTTTGGTAAACCCTAAATCACCCCAAACTTCGGAAGTGGAGGATTAAGTCGGCTGGTCGCCCTTAAGCACTCTACCTGTCTCCTGGGGACTTTAGCCTGGACCTTAGACTCTTAACCCTTTGGGATTCCCTTATGCTCCTGTTAGAGGTACCTCAGGGTTAACCCTAGGCCTTAGTAAGGGTCCTAAGTGCCACGTAGTTGTGCAAGACTGGCATTTGAAGCCATGATATCGACCCAAGGGCTCCTATGTTGCCCCTTTTTTGATGTGGTATCTAAGGTTAGAAGTATGGGCCCCTAGTATGGGCCCTTAGGCCTTTCAGGGGGATTCTAGGGACCCTTAAGGGTACCTGTAGGGTATAAAGTAGGACGAAGTAGGTACATTAGGATCGGGCCCATGGTATCAGCCATAGTCGGTAATCATATAAGGGATGTCTATATGTTTCTAGAACCTAAGCCCTAAACTAAACACAAAAATAGCTGCAGAGGAGCCGCTGGGCTAACCATCATCTGCTCCCTCCCCTGCCTGTATTACTACGCTTGCAGCTGAGATATGTCCCTAAACCCTGAACCCTAAACCCTAAACCCCTGTGTTCTCACGGGTCCCCAAGTCTGCTGTTTGCTTTTGCAGTTCTTCTGTTGGCTTCACACGAAACTGTCGCACCCCTGAACCCAAACTTCGGGTTTAGGGTTTACCCAAGGGCTCCAATGTAGTTCCTTTTTGGGTCTGTTATGTTTTTTTGGTAAGGGATTATAATATACTACCCAAAAGGAACTACATGAGAGGGTCTAGGTAGGGCAAATACTGCACAACGCCCATCCCTGACCCTGACAACCTTGTTCAGGGTGGTAATTGTTGCTTGTAGGTTTTCAGAAATTTGGGCCCGCGGCCCGCGCCCCCATATTCAGGGTTACACTTTGGGTACGACAGGGGGCCCATTCTGGAAATGTCTAGATATCCAATATGAGCCCTCAACCCTACTGGTCATGCTTCTGTTCTCCAAGTTTTGCCAAGCAGCGGCTTCAAC